GTGTGTGTGTCTGTTGGGTTAAAATTCATTGGAAATACTGGGAACACTTGTTCATGTTGTTGTTGTTTTAAGACTGATCTCTATAATTACCATTCAGTGTTCAAAATGAGCCATTAGCAGAATGACACCATATCAGACATTTTAGAAGACACGTCCTACCAGATTAGTGACCAACCAGTATGCTTAATTATAAACTGTCCTCTAACTCTTAAATACTTGACTACAAACTCTATTTTTGTAGGCATGACTGTAAATAAAAACAATTTAAGATGACTTTATCCAAAGCCCAACAGCAGCGAAGGCGTGGACACACATCAGTGATGGTTCTTTGACCAACCCTAATGAACCTTGAACCCACAACCTTTCAGTGAGCAGCTCTTGAACCGCACACTAGTAAACAAAATCACCAAAACACGGACTGAACCGATCACAGAAGAGCAAGCTCACCGCGTCATCATGGTGCTGGCAAAAGTCCATCCTCTCCTGGAAAACATTGAGCATGGAGAAGCTGTTGTGGAAGGACTGGGAGATGGAGACCGGGGTGTTGGAGTTGTTGGTGCGGTTGGCCAGGTGTAGGCTCTCCAGCAGGCCCTCGATGAAGTGGTCTTTGGTGAGTCGGACCCTCTGGTGGGCCCTGACGCAGTTGTCGCACAGGTACTCCTGGCAGTCCAGGCAGTGGGAGGTAGCGGGGTTGCCCTCGTCACAAGAGCTGCACTGGGGGTCCGAGAGGTGCTGGGGTCGCAGAAGACCACCGTGATGGACCACCGCAGAAGACCGCCCGTTCTTGCCCTGCTCTTCAGCGGACACCACCACGTCCAGCAGGTTGCTGAAGAGAAAGTTGGAGGAGGGCAGCGCGTCCACGCCCGACTCCGACAGAGACACCTTTTGGTCGCATGTGGGGCATCTGAGCTTCAGGGGGTCGCCGGGGCTCCGCTGGCCCTCCAGGCACTGCCTGCAGAAGGCGTGCAGACAGGGCAGGACGTGCAGTCTCCTGGTGGATGAGGTAGATGAGGAGTTGGAGGTCTGAGAGGACGAGGAGGAGGTAGATGAGTTGGAGGAGATCGGAGCAGAGCAGCCGCACAGCTCCTTGCAGAGCGGACATGTTTGCAGGTCGGAGTCTGGGAAAGACGCCATTTGCGCAGAGGACCACAGAATAACTTCACACATAAAGATGCGTTAAGACACACGAAGGCTTTTCCCGAAATGGTTCCCTGATCAATTAATGCAGATTACAGATTTAGCAGGCTGTGCTGTGGGCTACATTCTTGTCAAATACATTCCTGTTGAAGAGTTTCGATGGAGCTGCGCTCTCTTGACTTTTATGTTGTTGTTGTTATCGACACTATTTCGCAGAACAAACTCTATGCGCAACTTCGCGGGTGCACTTTAACCATTTGGAAACCAAGTGTCATTTTGAGGCCTTATAATCCCTCGGTGTGGGGCATTAACATTGTTGCGAAACATAAAATCCGCTGCGAGGTCCCTGCTCCGATCCTCCCCCACCGCCGCATGACGAGAGGGGCCAACCACGCTGATTCACGGTCACTTTCTTCCGTGCAAAGCGCAGAAACGTCCGTTTTCCATCAACGCGCTGTAGTCTAGCATCTGCGCGTCAGTATTGTCAAAACGCGCTTGCGCGAGCCGCAATTAAATAATTCAAAGTATGTCCCATGTAGCTCGTTAGCACGCAGCGCCCCTCAAGATCCTGTTACTGTGGTGAGGCTGAAAAGCCCCTTTAACTTCCCCCAGTCCGCTTGCTGTAGTTTGGCGTAATGGTCTCAACTAACCATATTCGTCTCGCGTCTGCAGCGTGAAACCAACGCTCTCCCCGCGCACCTCTTCAATCCGCCTTCATTTTTATTGGGAATGAATGACGCCGCCGCGGACAACAACTCAACAGCGCGTGACCATCAAGCGAACCACGTCCATACTAAAAAATTCTAGAACGCACTTCCGCCTGAGAGCACTCGGGAGGGGCGGGGCTTGTGTGACAGGGGGGCTGGGCTGGGCTTTGAGTAATAAAACAGCTACATGTTCAGCGAACGATGATTATTAATTGTGCTCACATACATCATATCATTGCTATAATTCACAATTCATCTGCTCATCTGGAAAACTGCAGACCCTCTTTTGATCAAATAATTTGTAATTTGTATTTTAGGAATCAGCTGACTAAAGTTTTATGGCTTTCTTTCAAAATAAAAAAAATTACTCTATTTGAGTCATGTTTGTCATTTTATGTTAACATTTCGTGTGTGTTCCTCTTTGGCTTTAAAAAATAATAAAATGAGTTGTTTTTTAAATGTCTGGTGACAATTGCCACAAAACTTTGAAGGTAATTATAAAGAAATTCAGATTTATTAAATAAAATAAATTAATTAATTTATTATGAAGAAAATAAGTTTCTTAATTAAAATAAAATACAGAAAATGAACATATCCCTGAGGCTAACTTTAATTTATTTATAATGGTGTATTTTGCATAACTGAATTTATTTTATTACCATTACTCTGTACATTTTCTCTAGTTGAAAAATAAATAACTCAAATAATACAAAATAGATGAGTAAATTTAAACATGAAAATATAGGTGATAAACCGTAAGACGCAAGTCTTTCAGCTTTATTATGTTAAACGATATAAAATGAAAACCGTCTTTCAGCTTTTTGTTTAGTTTATTGTGTTTCCGCCATTTATTTGTGATTACTTTGCAGTTTAAAAAAAAAAGTATTCAATACTTTTTTGTTTCTGTTTTTATTTGACAACTTAATATTATTATTATTTGACAAAATTCTCTTTTTGTTTTTAATCACAGACTGACTCATATAAGTCAATCATTACAGCTAAACAGATATTTTTTGGATGAGAAATGAACAAAAATTATTAAAATAAATGAAAAATTCCATCATAATCAAACCTTCATGAGTTTCTTTCTTCAGTCAAACACAAAAGAAGATACTTAGAAAAATGTTGGACAGTAGAAAAATCAATGGAAGTCGAAGGCTACAGGCTTTCAGCATTCATCAAAATATCTCCTTTTGTGTTCAACAGATTTTTGAGTGAACTATTCCATTAATGCTAAAAAAATAAGTTCGTCTTTCAGCTTCATGTTTAGTTTATTGTGTTTCCGCCATTTATTTGTAATTATTTTGCTTTTTTTTGTTAATAAAAGTATTCTACACATTGTTTTGTATCTGTTTTTATTTTAATACTTCTCTTTTTGTTTTTACTCACCGACTGACTCATATAAGTCAATCATTACACCTAAACAGATATTTTTGGATGAGAAATGAACAAAAATTATTAAAATAAATGAAAAACTCCCTCATAATCAAACCTTCATGAGTTTCTTCAGTCAAACACAAAAGAAGATACTTAGAAAAATGTTGGACAGTAGGAAAATCAATGGAAGTCGATGGCAACAGGCTTTCAGCATTCATCAAAATATCTCCTTTTGCGTTCAACAGATTTTTGAGTGAACTATCCCTTTAATGCTAAACAATATAAGACCGTCTTTCAGCTTCATGTTTATTGTGTTTCCGCCAATTATTTGTAATTATTTAGCAGTTTTTTTTACTAATAAAAATATTCTACACATTGTTTTGTATCTGTTTTTATTTTAATACTTTTCTCTTTTTGTTTTTAATCACAGACTGACTCATATAAGTCAATCATTACAGCTAAACAGTTCCTTTTGGATGAGAAATGAACAAAAATTAATAAATATAAATGAAAAATAAGTCATAATCAAACCTTCATGAGTTTCTTTCTTCAGTCAAACACAAAAGACGATACTTAAAAAATGTTGGACAGTATGGAAATCAATGGAAGTCGATGGCAACAGGCTTTCAGCATTCTTCAAAATATCTCCTTTTGTGTTTAACAGATTTTTGGGTGAACTATCCCTTTATTGCTGAAAGCTATACAAGCTGTAAGACCGTCTATTTTCTTCATGTTTAGTTTAATGTTTCCTGACATTTATTTGCAATTACTTTGCAGGGTTCTTTTTTAAATAAAAGTAAAATCAATGGAAGTCGATGGCTACAGGCTTTCAACATTCTTCAAAATATCTTCTTTTGTGTTCAACAGAAAAAAACTGTTGATTTTTTGGGTGAACTATCCCTTTAATGCTAAATGATATCGACGGTAATGCTATTTAAAAGCAACAGAATCCTAGTTTGGTGTCAATAAAAGGATGATTGAGCGTTATTGATGAGGCACAACAAAAAGAAAAAAAATCCCCTTTGTTCTATCATTACTTCTCATTAATTCTCCAACCCATCATCTCGCCCCCAGTAGGCTACATGCTAATTTCCCTCCCACACCTGAACCTATGAAATCAATCTCAACCTTTTTTGTAATCGATGCTCCCCCTCCTGAGGGCCCCTCCTGTAATAGATAGCTACCACATGTAGGACTGGCTTTTGTGTGCATTTATGGGCACTTATAGAGCGGGGTTGCTGGGGTGGCTCTTGTGACAAGGGGAGGAAGCTTCTCGGTGGGGCTTAGGCTCCAGATGCGGGGCTGCCCAATAAAGCAGTGGGATGCCAGGCTGAAAGACAGGGCTTTCGGAGAGACCCTTTGACCCCATTATTATGGCTGGGATTAGGGCTAGTGGAGGCTGCGGAGCTTCGGCCATCCCAAGGACATTCCATTGATCTGAATGAGGAAAAGGCCGGAACGGGGGGTTGGGTTGGGGTGGGGTGAGGGCAGAGGCTCAGCGAAAACCAAGCAAAGCAAGGAAGGGTCATGTCAAATGGTGGAAATGACCACAGGCCATGTGGACAGGGGGTGTTATGAGTACGTGCGCACGTGCAGCTGGGCTCGGATTGGAGCGTTGATTCAGGCTCAGGAAATAGCCGCTCCTTTCAGCTGTCGCTCATAATTAACGTGCGATGGATGGTTTTTATTAAAATCCTATTTCTTCGCAGTAAAAAATTCAATATATAAACAAGCAAATGTTGTTTTAATCACAATCTGTGCAATGTGACGATATATATGCATTTAAAGTCAAAATTATTAACCAATGTTTCGCAACTGCTGCCTAATGGGGAGATTTTTGATATTAAAACAATCGTTTTAATAACAAAAGTATGGTTTATTTAAACAAATTTATTTAGTCTTTATTTAGTCTAGTTACTTTGCAAGATGCTTGTGTATATACATATCCATATATACACACACATATACACACACACACACACAAATATATATATTTACATACACACACACACACACACACACACACACATATACACACACACATATATATATACACACACACACACACACATAAATATATATATTTACACACACACACGCACATGCACACACACACACACACACACACACACACATACATACATACATATATATATATATATATATTTACACACACACACGCACACGCACACACACATACATATATATACACACACACACACACACACATATATATACACACACACACACACACACACATAAATATATATATTTACACACACACACGCACACGCACACACACATACAAACACACACA